TACAAGCACTTATCTTTAAACCAACTAAATAGAGCTCTTTTACAAATTAATCTTAGCGATACCATCTGGAGGTAGAGAAAACATCTCACATAACATATGTGTACACACAAATAAGTACACAAACAATATGCAAACAAAATCTTTTTTTTTTATGTTTTATTTATTTCTGAGAGAGAGAGACAGTGTGAGCAGGGGAGAGTCAGAGAGAGGGAGATACAGAATCCAAAACAGTCTCCAGGCTCTGAGTTAGCTGTCAGCACTGAGCGCGATACGGAGCTTGAACCCACAAACTGTGAGATGATGACCCGAGCCGAAGTTGTAAGCTTAACCCACTGAGCCACCCAGGCGCCCCAAAATCTTAAAGCCCCAATTTTCAATTGTCTCCTTTATACAAAACAAATCTAATGGCAAGATGGTATTATAATTTATGGATCCATTAATTGGTCATTTTTCTCTGTATTGCAGCCAAGCAGCATTGCAAAAAACGATTGCTCAATTTTGGAGCTGCATGTGGGGATCAAACTGTTGTTTCCCAGTTTCCAATTAGAACACAGCCAACTTTACCCAAAGATACCCAAAGATGCAGCAATAAACAAATTGTGAGCGTTGGTTCCTCCCCAAAAGTCAGAGCTTCACCCACTCAACCAAACAGCTTCCTCATCAGCCTTTTCTTAATCAACCAAGAAAGGGAGGCTAAAAGAACTAAAATCCCCTGTTTGGAGGCATCCAAATGGGAGGAAGAAATCTAAAAGCCAAAGCAAACAGGAGAAAGAAAGAAGCTCACATACCCTCCAGATGAAACACTCAGCAAGAGACATCTGTCCAAACCAAACCTAGAACTGTTTCCTGGCCACAGGAGTTACATTAATCACTGAGAGCTGGCAACTGGAGCCCCATCAGGGTGGACTGGAGCCCGGGGGACGGTCCCCAGGACAACAAACCTATGCACTGCTTGGACTCATCACTGGACTCCTGTAACAGGCTGAGAGCCGATGACCCATGGGCAAAGAGCTTCTGGCTGGCTCTCCAAATTTGCAACCGAACCCAAGTTTATCCGTGGGATGGGCAAGAAAGATGACCGAATATTGAGTATGCAGCAGGAAAGGATTTATTTGAGAGGCAGCAAAATAAGGAGATGGGAGGGCAAATCTTAAATCATCCTCTCCAAGGAGAGACCGGGAAATTTAAAGGCAAACAAAAAGGGTAAAAAGTTGCAGTTGAGTTTATTACTCTGCAGCTGCTTTTAGTCCCCTTAACCCTTTGGTCACTGGTTACACTCATTTTCTCAGAATAATGAAAATGTAATACTCATGGGTGGTGTTTGGAGGTGAGAGGGAAGCACCAGCCTGGGCAATTCAGTACCTAATACCATAGAGCTAAAATAATGCTTCCCTGTCCTTCGTTACAATGATAACATAGAGAATCATTTTTGTTATTTTGAGTCCTCTTTGTGTGTGCTTTTACATAATTAGGACCATGGTTTAGCTGTCTGTCAAACTGGAATTGTTTTTCACTGAACATTAAGTTGTGCTCAGATCCTGAGCCTTCATAGCAGAGCAGTGAAGGGTTTGCATTCAGGAATCCTAAAAATATGTATTCAAATTCCAAGTACCACCCCCTAGCTTTGTGATCTTAGTCAAACTTATTTTTTCATCTGTCAAGAGGCGTTTTTAATAGGCACCACACAACACATTTATTATGCTAGGTACATATAACCACTCAGAAACAGAAACCATTAATATTGCATTTTGTGTGTTTTCTGCTTGTTATAAAAAAGTGAATGGTCATTTATGAAAACAGAGTTGTGTAAAGAAAACAAACATGACAGAACCCAGCTATTACCAATGTTAAAATGTTGATGGAAAAATACCACATTGTATGGTTCCATTTATGTAAAGTATCAAAAGTATGAAATTCAGTGAAGCAGAAAGTAGAATAGTGGTTTCCACGGACTAGGTGGAGGGGGAATGGAGGAGTTCTTATTTAATGGGTATAGAGTTTTGCAAAGATGAAAAAGTTCTGGAAGTCTGTTTCACCATATGAATATAGTTAAAACTATTGAACTGTACACTTAAAGGTGGTTAAGATGGTAAATTTTATGTTGTTTGTATTTGTTTTTTTATTTTAACACACACACACACAAACACACACACACACACACACACACACAATTTTTGGATATATTTCTCTACAGCAGACACATTCTAATACCCAGTTTGAAAAATTCTTCCAACCCACTTGTACCAATGCCATATTAGGTCTTCACTGTCTTTACGGGTCACGTCCTCCCTTCTTCCCTACGCAGTTTTTAGTGATGCAGGTGTAAATACCCTCCACTCTGTGTACGTTTATTGTTAACACCTTACTCAGGGCAAGAGCATTTTACAAGGTGGATTACTTCCTGGATCCTGACTTTCTATCTTTTGGTCTGGTAATTTCCTACTATCTTGCCATCTCTCTCTCTTTTTTTTAATGTTTTATTTTATTTCTAGGAGAGAGAGAGAGACAGCGTGAGCAGGGGAGGGTCAGAGAGAGAGGGAGTCACAGACTCTGAAACAGGCTCTGAGCTGGCAGTCAGCACAGAGCCCGATGCAGGGCTCGAACCCACGAACCGCGAGATCACGACCTAAGCAAAAGTCGGACGCTTAACCGACTAAGCCACCCAGGCGCCCCTATCTTGCCATCTCTTAGATGCCCTGTCTATGACATTATGTTATGGGCACCATAACATGGGCAGAATTGCGTTATGAGCAGAATTGTGCCCTCCCCGCTGCCCTGCCCCCTGCCAAATTCATATGTTGAAACTCTAACCTTCACCTCTAGTACCTGAGAATATGGCTGTATTTAATCCCATGTTTAAGTGATTAAATTTATTAGTTACTTTAAAGAACCAATTAAGATAAATGAGTCATTAGGGTATGCTCTAACCCAACCCGGCTGGTGTCCTTATAAGAAGAGGAAATTTGCACACAGAGGAGCTGCAGGTACACAGAGGAAAGACCATGTGAGGACACAGAGAGAAGGCAGCCGTTGGCAAGCCAAGGAGTCGGGCTTCAGGAGAAACCAACTCTGCTGACATAGGCAGACCTGGTCTGAGGATGGGGGGCGGGGGGGGGGGGGGGGGGCGGGGGGGGGGGGGGGTCCTGCAGGACCAGCCAAGAGGGTCCATGGCTTTGCACAGGATAGAAATTAAGCTCAAGCTGGGAGGAAGTGAGAGCAGAGTTTACTGAGTAGCTTAAGTGATAGAGGATAGTAGGCAGAGCATCTGAGATGCTCATAAAAGGAGGAGTGAGTCTTCCTGTTGCTTGGGGTAAGTAGTCCAGGGTATGTGTTCCTTTAGGAATCCGGGTCCGATCAAAGGTGAGCGTTAGGTGGACGATAGCTGTTATTCTATAAATCACTGAAGATAGGGGTTATGGGTGCCAGTGTCAATGGAAGTTTGTTCAAACCTAATGTCCTGGAGCTCAGGATCTGGTTCTTCTTAGATGTTATCATGTACATGAGGGCCTAGGATGAAATTTAGAGAATGAGTAACTTTCTTGCTTCCCCCCTTGGAGTGGGAACATAGCTTCCTTGGTTTACTCAGATGCAAGGTGAAATATAGAACGTAAGTAAATAGGGCCTAGCAGAGAAATAGCGGAGATGGAGCCTGTCTAAAATAGAGTGCATTCAGTTTCCCTAATTGCTGAGACCTGAATCCTGGACTTCTAGCCTCCAGAACCGGGAGAAAATAAATTACTGTTGTTTAAGCCACCCAGTCTGTGGTATTTTACTGTGGCAGCCCTAGCAAACTAATTTACTCCTCTAAGGACACTAGCAATAAATATTCCAGATTTCAGGGTTTTTTTTTTTTTTTTCTGGGATGAGTTGATATAAATATCTTAGCTCTACTATTACTAGAAAGAGAAATTCCAGTTATTATCCCATTGCCACACACTGCTTTCCCTTTCCTCATAGCCCTTGCCATCATCTGGGGTTCTACCTATTTTTAAAATTTATTATTGTTAAAAAGAAAACCACAGTCTCAAAGTGGGGCCAAGTCATTAAACAGGGGCTTAATGCCTAAGCTAAATGCAGTTCCAACCACCACCAGAAATGTAGTCTTAACAAGTCAGTCGGGAGTCTCCTGATCTGGTACTAATGTGCCACATCCTAATGTCACATGACCCTCCCCCCACCAAAGGTAAAGAAGTTAATTCCCCTAATTAGACCCTCGGCTCTAGCCCCTAAGGTAAGGTGACCTCACCTGGACCAATTCTTTGTTTTCTTTTGCTTATAACTTCCATGCCCCACCCTCCCGCCTGTAAAACCTTCTATTTTATACAACTACCTAATGCTCCTTTCTACTTGCTAGACGGGATGCTACCCCATTCATGAATCAGTAAAGCGAATTAGATCTTCAACTGTGCTGTGTTGGGTTTTTGTTGTGTAACCTTATCTATTCAATTTCCATACATTAAGATCTAAAAAAGGAAAGACCATTCTGATAACCGCTATATGCTTTGAGCCTGTAACAATGCAGGACGGATGGTAGGCACTCAAGATACTTGCGGGAGGAATGAATGACTGATTGACAAAGAAGGGCTTTTCCCCGCGTTAGAGCTGGAGGGCCGCGTGGTCTCTCCAGCGGCCGCCTGGCCCCGCCCGCGGTGGGCGCGTTTTGGCCGCTGCCCCCGGGGACCGGGCGCCGGTGCGCGCTCCGCCGCGCCGGCGCCGGGTTTTCGGGCGCGCCGGCTTCCCGGGAGGGGGCGGGCTCGGGGCGGCCCCTTGTGGGCGGAGTCGGCAGCTGGGCGTGCGGGGCCGCCGGAAGACGCGCGGGCGGGGCGGGGGAGTGCGCCGCAGGGTGGCCGGACCGGGGGCGAGCGGGGCGGGGGCGACCGGCGGCGTGGGCGGCGGCGGGGCGCGGCGGGGCGCGGCGGGGCGCGGCGGAGGTGGGGGCACGAAGGCCCAGGGCAACGCCGGGCTGCGGCCCACGAGGCGGGGCGGCGAGTGGAGCCGGTCGCCGCCGCTGGCCCGGCATCAGAGCGAGTGTCCGCGAGGTGTAGCCTGGCGCGCGTCTGCGGGGAGCGGGGTCAGGACAGCCTTCCCGCTGCGGCCCGCGGAGCCCCGCGCCCCGGAGCGCGGCCGGGGAGGGCCGCCTGGGAGGGCGGCGGAGAGATGCTGTGGGGCGGCGGGCCCTAGACAGGTCCCCCGGGGGGCCGGGAAAAGCCCCGCATCCGGGGCGGAGGCCGAGGTCCCGCGGGCTCCCGAAGAAGCCTGCGGGAACACTGGGCGTGCTTCGGGGAATCTTCGGTGAGCGGGCCTTGCGGTCTACGAAGGCGGGGGAAGAGCAAAATCTGCTACCGCCGGCTCCTCTGAAGAGACACCCCGTGGCGCCGAAAGCCTTGGGAGCGAGCGCTCCCGCGGGCGCGTCCCTGGTCCCAGCAGCGTCCGGGGCCAAACCGGTGAGTGGATACGCGGGTGTGCAGCCTCCTTTCCGGGGAGGGGCGGCTTCCAAATGATGCTTCGAGAAAGTTTCCCTACCTTGGTAACTAGACGTTTACTTTTGTGTGTTGGGGGCAGGATATTTCCACACGCTCCAGTCTGCGGGACGCCGCTCCTTTCTCTGCATCGGGCACAGCTTGGGGCCCTGTGGGGGGACCCCATAAGCCACTTAGCCTTCCTTACAAACTTCAGAAAGTTGGGCCAGCCCCCGTTACACGGAGCTCGGTCTGTGCGTGGGGCCCCAGACACGCCTGACCAGGTGGCTGTGGAGACACCTGCCCAGATGCCGGGGGGGGGGGGGGGGGGGGGGGGGGGGGGTTTGGACGAGATGATAGATTGGAGTTGTTTCCGGATTTCCCGATTGCAAACAGTTCTGCAGTGGTCCTGACGGTACGCGAAGTGCTGTTTCCTCCGTCTGAACACCCCCCCCCCCAATTTTAACATTCGTGAAACCAGGAGGCATCTTCACAGGTTAAAAGGACTTGCCGGCTGCTGGGCATCTGCGTGGGTGGGGAGTGTGTCTGGCGCTGTTTGGTCGGGTGAACATGCAGCTGCGTGATTATCACTTCTGACACTTGAACTTTAAATTTAGATCTCTAATTTTTTTTAATGTTTATTTTTGCGTGTGAGAGAGGCAGAGCACGAGTGGGGGAGGAGCAGAGAGAGAGAGAGGGAGACACAGAATTCAAAGCAGGCTCCAGGCTCTGAGCTGTTAGCACAGAGCCCAACGCGGGGCTCTTCCTGGAACTCACAACCGCGAGATCATGACTTGAGCCAAAGTCGTGTGCTTAGCCGACTGAGCCACCCAGGTGCCCAGTCTCTAGTTGTTCTTAAAAGTAGCTTGAAAAGATAATGCTTAAGGGTTTTCTAATTAATATTACAGCATTATAAAGTACAATTGTTGTTTCCATTTTATGGATGAAGAAACTGAAGCTCAGAGAGTTGAAGTGTCTTAGAGTTTTTAAGTACAGTGTCAAGAGTCTTACCCAAGCTGTCTGATTTCAAAGCGTGCCCTCTTAACTCCAAAGTCTGTATCCAGGCAGAAGACGGGTCCAGCTAACTGGGAGGGAAGGCAAGACAGGGTCTGTGCTTGTTTTTATATCTTTGGCTGTTTGTGTATGTGTGTATGGAACTGGGAAACAGCCACATCCAAGAACGCTGGTTATACTTCTTCCCACATTGATGTCAAACCTTTGTTTTGGGATCTTTTGCAGTTTAAAATACATTTTTGCAAGGTCTCGAGTTCTGGATGTGTGGTCAGTGCTTCTGGATCCCTCCTCTTCTGTCTCTTGCTCCTCTAGAAGAGTATAGAGGCATGTACTCCAGACGACTCAACGGGCTGCCTCCCAGGGAGGCACTACGTAATTTAAGAGAGAAGTCAGTTTTTCGGAGTTGAGAAGGGCGCAGCAGCCTCTAGGGACCTCCAGGTTCTGGTGCTGCCCAGAAACACCAAAGCTCTGGGGGCAGGAGGCTGCGGTCAGCAGAGACCACATACCTGGGAACGACTCTGGCCGTTCTGTCCCCACAAGTGGACACGCCCAACTGGGTGGGCGTCATCATGCTGCAGCAGCTCCTGATCACCCTGCCCACGGAGGCCAGCACCTGGGTGAAGCTGCACCATCCGAAGAAGGCCAAGGAGGGAGCACCCCTGTGGGAGGACGTGACAAAGATGTTTGAAGGAGGAGGTGAGAGTAGATCCGATGAAGGGGATACGGGACAAGAACTCTCAATTTGGGTGTGAAAAGATAGGCTCCTGTTTCACTGAAGCATCTCTGGGGGCGGGAGGGGGGGGATTGGAGAAAAGCAGGTCTTTGGGGTTCCTGCTTGTGGCTTTTGGGACGGGGATAGCTATGAGGGCAGGTGTTGAGGGCTCAGCTCCTTGTGCCATGTGCTCCATGCTGCTCCCATCTCCAGTCCCCGGATAAAGCACAAAACAGGAGGACAGCTTAGAGTTCCCCACCAGCTGCTCCCAAGTATCTGTGATTGTCACAGACGCTGGGGTCAAAGGCTTCTACTCCCTAAAGCCCTCCCAAGGTTTCCCTTCATAAGTTTTGGTCATTTTGACCCAAAGCCAATGCTTTTCACAAGTAGCAGTTCTGACAGGAAGGAATGAGATACTTGATGACTCTCAGTTTCCAGGAGGTCTGTGGGAAACATGTCCAAGATTACACATTATCTGGTGGTCTGGTCAGGACAGATAGATGGACAGAGAAATTCGTGTGTCTCACGGGATCATGCCTTTAACATTTCAAGTTCAGCTGATATGTATTCTGGCTGCGTCTGGAGTTTGCTCACTATCTTGACCAATGAAAAAATGAATAATGATCTCCAATGCTTATTATTAATTGATGGAAACAGACACATATCCAGGGCAAAATAATAGAAGGTAGCCTAAGAAAGTGCTATGGTAAATTTCTTTTGGAAGCCAAGAGACTGGAAACATTCTTCTGACTATTTACTGGAGAAATTTTCACAAAGCAGATAGCACTGAATTGGGCCTTGAAAGATGTCTTACGTTTTTTGTAGAAGATTTGGAGGAAAGGATACAGAAGTGAGTGCCTTGAAGAGTGGTTCAGAGAATGGGGACCATTTGAGTCCGGGGGCTAAGAATGTGGTCAGTATATGTATACAGTGGATAAAGGATGGTGCCCAGTGGAAACTCACACTGGGAAGGTTTGCTTCAGGCGAGTTGTAGCGGGCCTGAAGTCCATGGGGAGTGTTTGGATTTTCTGTCTTACCAGAAACACTTGAACAGAGGAGTGGCCTGGTCTTTGCTTTTGGACCAGCTTTGCCCATTGAGAGGTATTAACACTCAAAGCAGTGCACTGCGGACCCTCCTTATTAAGGAGGCCCTGGTCTCCTCTGAGTTGCTCAAAATGTCCCTCTCTGTGAATGTTTTGAGAGAGGAGCCATGTTCAGCAGGTCTGCAGGCAGTTTTTCTCTTTGGGAGATTTGGGGAGATACAAACCTCATGGCCCTTTTCCCTCTTCAGCTCTGCTCCCTCAGGATGCTGAGGAGACCCAGGGAGAAAGTTTGCAGGCTCAAGTCTCTTCTGGGCCCCCAGCAGCTGAATCTCAGGTGGGTTGGATTTTCCTTTCATTTTCTTGACCTGCTGCTTGGTTTTTAAGGCTGTATCTTGCCACCCTGTGTTTTCATTTATTTATTTTATTTATTTTGAGCATGAAGAGTTTGGAGTGTGGGGCTAACAGATTCAACACAGGGAACTTGTGCACGTTGCTCTTGTACAGAAAACTGGGCTTCAGTGGTGGCGATTTTCCTACTCAGGGTGGCTTTCCTCCTTGTAACTCTTGTTGGTGGCCAACATCCAGATTTTTTTATAATAGTTTATTGTCAAGTGGGTTTCCATATAACACCCAGTGCTCATCCCCACAAGTGCCCTCCTCCATGCCCGTCACCCCCCTTCCCGCCACCCCCTGCCAACATCTAGATTTAACATTGTGTTAATTTCTGTAGAGAAAGAAAAATGGATGCTAGAATTCTGGCCCCTAAAAACAAATCGATACTACTTAGGGTCTAAGATACACGTCAGGTTTTTGTTTTTTGTTTTTTTTTTTTTTTTTTGAGTATTTTCACTCAAAAACAAACTTCGTAAAGTGACAAAAAGTTCTGAGATTCTTTAAAAAAATTTTTTTAACTTTATTTTTGAGAGAGAGAGAGACAGAGCATGAGTGGGGGAGGAGCAGAGAAAGAGGGAGACACAGAATCCGAAGCAGGCTCCAGGCTCTGAGCTGCCAGCGTAGAACCTGACACAGGGCTCAAACTCACAAACCGTGAGATCTTCACCCGAGCTGAAGTCGGCTGCTCAACCGACTGAGCCACCCAGGTGCCCCAGAAAGTTCTGACATTCTTAAGCGATGGTGGACTTCATGTGGTGACCCTTAGTATAGTACTGGGAGCCGAGGGCCAACCAACCAAAGGACAAGTGAGTGGGGAAGAAATGATCTGGCCACAGAGCACACACATGTTAGACAAATGGACAGTTACACAGGGTGTCCTCACTGTTGACTGGAAGCATAGGGAAGACAGGAAAACTGTAGAATGAATGAGAAAGACTGTTCAAGATGAGATATTATTCGATGGCAGGAGAGTTTTAAGTGAAAAGGACTTGGGTTCTGTAATTACATGGTACAGGATCTGAAACTATCTCTTGTATTTACTTGCTTGGTAATGGGGCACATTTTTTTTAGCTGTTTATAATCCCAATTTCCTCAGCTGATTCAGATGCTAATATTTTTCTAGGATTGAATGCATTTCAAAGTTATTTACAGTAATAAGGAAGAAGTAATAAGAATAAGAAATAATAGTCTAATTATTTAAAGAGTTCTCTCTACATTTCACTTATCTGGAATTCCTCACTTCTTGACATTTATCAAGAACTGATGGTATTAGTGCTGGGAGAAGATTAATTAAAAAAAATTTTTTTAATGTTTATTTTTGAGAGAGAGAGACCGAGTGTGAGTGGGAAAGGGGCAGAGAGAGGGGGAAACAGAATCCAAAGTAGTCTCCAGGCTCTGAGCTGTCAGCACAGAACCCGAGGTGGGGCTCAAACCAGCGAACCATGAGATCATGTTCTGAGCCAAAGATGGATGCTTAGCCAGCTGAGCCACCCAGGTATTCCTGTATAGTTTTTTTTGGTTTTTTTTGTTTTTTTTTTTTTATCGAGAGAGAGAGAGAGAGAGAGAGAGTATGAGCAGGGGAGGGGCAGAGAGAGAGAGAATCCCAAACAGGCTCTGTGCTGTCAGCATAGAGCCCAATGCAGGGTTCAATCCAAGAACCGTGAAGTCATGACATGAGCTTAGATCAAGAGTCAGACTTTCAACCATCTGAGCGACCCAGGCACCCCGAAAGTGTGTAGTTCTACTTTGACGTATATAACCATGTAACCAAAATAGAGATTATTTCCACCATCTCAGAAAGTTCTCTCAGGCTCCTTTCCAGTCAGAACTCTGCTTTGCTCCCAGTAGAGAGTACATGGGGTCTTTTTGTTATTTCTTAAAACTGCATCAGAATCTATAATCTCAAAATTGGAGCTCCTGGGTGGCTCAGTCAGTTTAGCGTCCGACTTGGGCTCAGGGCAGGATCTCACGGTTCCTGAGTTCGAGCCTTGTGTAGGGCTGTGTGCTGACAGCTCAGAGCCTGGAGCCTGCTTCAGATTCTATATCTCCCTCTCTCTCTGTCCCTACCCTGCTCACGCTCTATCTTTCTCAAAAATTAAAAAATTAAAAAAATTACAATGATCTCAAAATAAAAAGTTTAAAAAAGAACGTGCATGTTCTGCAGTTGATAGGTATAGTGTTCTATAAATGTCCGCTAGTTTAAGTTGACTGATAGGCGGTTCAAATCTGTATCCTTGATGCATTTTTGTCCACTTGTGTCAGTTACTGAGAAAGGAGTGTTGAAATCTCTGCCGTGGTTTTGTCTGTATCTCCTTTAGTTCTGTCAACTCTGCTCTATTTTGAGTTCTATTATGAGATCCAGTAACGTGTAGGATTGTTGTCTTCTTGATGAACTGACACTTTATCATTATGAGATGTCTCTTTATGGCCAGCAATACTCCTTCTCCTAAGCCTACTTTTGTCTGACTTTTTATAGTTCCTCCCCTGTTCTTTCAGTTATTGTTTGTATGGTATAGCTCTTTCAGTTCTTTTACTTCTAACCCATCTGCGTCTTTATATTTAAAGTGTGACCTCACATATTGCTGTGTCTTGCTTGTTTAGTGCATTTACAGTTACCGTAATCATTGATACAGTGGGATTTAAATGGACATTCTTATTCTTTTGCTGTTCACTCATTTTTGTTTTTTTGTTCCTCTTCTGCTTCCTCTTGGGTTGCATAGTGTTTTAGTGGTCCAATTCATGCCCTCTGATGACTTTTTAGCTATACTTGTTTGATTTGCTGGTGGTGATTGGTGTGGCCATTATAATATATATTTGTAACATATCACAGTTGAGTTATTATTATAGTGTTTCACATATGGCGCGGAAGCCCCAGATTTCCATTTACTCTTTCCCAGTTGTTTGTATATTGTCATCATATATCATATACGCATTTAAACCCCACAGTACATTGTTCTTATTTTGTTTACTCTCTTGTTTTGTTTTTTTTTTTTTTACAAACAGTTTATTGTCAGGTAAGTTTCCATATAACACCCAGTGCTCATCCCCACAAGTGCCCTCCTCTATGCACATCTCCCCCCCGCACACACACACCCATCAGTCCTCAGTTTGTTCTCAGTATTCAAGAGTCTTTCATGGTTTGCCTCTCTCCCTTTCCCCCACCATTTCCCCCCTTTTTCTCCCCCTTGGTCCTCCGTTAAGTTCCTCCTAATCCTCCTATACGTGCAAACATATGGTATTTGTCTTTCTCGGCCTGACTTATTTCTCTCAGCATAACACCCTCAAGGTCCATCCATGTTGCTACACATGGCCAGATTTCATTCTTTCTCATTGCCATGTAGTATTCCATCGTATAAACCACATCTTCTTGATCCATTCGTCTGTTGATGGACACTTAGGCTCTTTCCGTGTTTTGGCTATTGTGGAGAGTGCTGCTGTGAACATTGGGGTACATGTGCTCCTATGCCTCAGCACTCCTGTAGCCCTTGGGTAAATTCCTAGCAGTGCTATTGCTGGGTCATAGGGGAGTTCTAGTGTTAACTTTTTGAGGAACCTCCACACTGTTTTCCAGGTTTACTCTCTTGTTTACTTTACATCGGCCACCATAATGATTGCAACCCCTTCTGGGGTAAAAGTATTCAGCTGACTTGCCCCTCTTCATGGAGGAAATATTAAATGATCCCCTGCTATATTATGAGCCCTGGGCTTTCTCTTCCTGTTTACCGTAGGGGGCCTAACACGCATTGTACTAGCAAACTTCATTAGACATTGTTCTTCATGACCCGTACTGTGTAGTCGCTCACTTCCGTTACATACCATCAATAGGAGCAGTGTTCGCTATTATAGGAGGTTTTGTTCGCTGATTGCCCTTATTCTCAGCATACACTTTTTATAATACCTGGGCAAAAATCCACTTCACAATTACATTTGTAGGTGTTAACGTAACATTTTTCCCCTCAGCATTTCCTCGGATTATCCGGAATGCCTCGACGTTATTCTGATTACCCAAGACGCATATACAACTTGAAACACAGTCTCCTCAATAGGCTCTTTCATTTCACTCTCAGCAGTAATATTAATAATCCTTATAGTCTGAGAAGCTTCGCGTCCAGATGAGAAGTAGCAATAGTATAACTAACTACAACTAACCTCGAGTGATTACACGGATGTCCCCCTCCATACCATACATCTGAAGAGCCAGCCTACATATCCATGCTCAGCGAGGAGCCTGACTTGGGGCTCGAACTCACAAACCGTGAGATCCTGACCTGAGCTGAAATCAAGAGTCATATGCTTAACTGACTGAGCCACCCAGGCGCTCCTATTGTTATTTTTGCTTTTAGCAGTAAACTATTTTTAAGAAATTAAGAAAAGGAAAAAAACAGGTTCTTTTCATATCCATCCGCATAATTACCAATCCAGACACTTTTCATTCCTTTTAATTCCAAGTTTCTAACTGGCATCAAGTTTCTAACTGGCATCGTTTCCCTTCAACCAGAAGAAAGTTGTTCAGCGTTGCTTGTAGTGTGGGTGTTCTGACGAATTCTCACAGCTTTTGCTGGTCTAAAGATGTCTTTCTGTTGTCTTCTATTTGAGGATCTTTTACTGGATAGAGAGTTCTAGAGTGGCTTTTTTCTTTTAAGCACTTAAAAAATGTTCCATGATCTTTTAGCTTCTCATTGTTTGGAATGAAAAGTCAGCTGTTACTGTTCTTTCCCTATAGGTGACCTGCCTTTCTGTTTGTTTTATACCAACTTTTCTTGTTCTTTTTTGCCTCCTTCCCTACCTTCTTTTGGCTGCCTTCATGATCTTCTCTTTTTTATCTTTGCTCGTCAGCAGTTTTACTGTGATGTGCATAGGGCTGATTTTCTTTGAATTTATTATTTTTGGGGTTTGCTGAGCTTAGATCTATGGCTTGAAAATTTAGAAAATTTTCAGCCTTCATTTCTCCAAATATGTTTTCTGCCCATTCTTTTATCTTCTTCTGAGATTCTAATTGAACTACTTAGTATTATCCCAGGTTTGTTTTTGTATTCTTTCCTCTTGGTGCTTCAGTTTGAATAATATCTATTGACCTATCTTAAGTTTCATGGATCTTGTCTTCATCAATCTGCCATTAAGTCTTATTTAGTGGATTTTTCAGATCCTTATTTTTCATTTGTAGAATTTTCATTTAGTCCTATAGCATTTCTCTCTCTCTCCTTTCAGTTGCCCCTATGTTTTGACCTATTCTGTTCATAGTTTATTTTACATTTTTAAACATATACTTTATTTAAAAAATTTTTATGTCTTTATTTCATTTTGAGAGAGAGACAGAGAGTGAGCGGGGGAGGGGCAGAGAGAGAGGGAGATAGAGAATCTGAAGCAGGCTCCAGGCTCTGAGCTGTCAGCACAGAGCTCAATGTGGGGCTCCAACCCACAGACTGTGAGATCATGACCTGATCTGAAGTCAGATGCTTAACTGACTGAGCCACATAAGCGCCCCTTTTAACATATATTTTAATAATTATTTTAAACTTCTTGTCTGCTAATTCCAATGACTTAGTCACCTATGGGCTTGCTTCTATTCATTTTTATTTTCTTTCTTTTTTAAAAAAATTTTAATGTTTATTCTTGAGAGAGAGAGTATGAGGGAGCAGGGGCAGAGAGAGAGAGACAGGGCGACACAGAATCTAAAGCAGGCTCCAGGCTCTGAGCTGTCAGCACAGAGCCTGACCTGGAGCTCAAACTCATAAACTGCGAGATCATGACCTGAGCCAAAGTGGGACGCTTAACTGACTGAGCCACCCAGGCGCCCCTTTATTTTCCTAATTATAGGTCATATTTCCCTCCTTCTTCACATATGTAACAGTTTTTTATAGTAGTTCAGATATTGGGTTTTAAAGAACAGTGGGGAGGGGTGCCTTGGTGGCTCAGTCGGTTAGGCATGAGACACTTGATTTCAGCTCAGGTCATGATCTCACAGTCATGAGACTGAGTTCCGCATCAAGCTCTATGCTGACAGCGCGAAGCCTGCTTTGGATTCTCTCTCTCCTCTCTCTGCCCCTCCCCTGTTCACACACACATGCACTCGCTCTCTAAATAAACTTAAAAAAAAGAACAGTGGGGGATGAAATATGTATATGTGCACACATCTCTATATACACACGTATATATGTATATGTATACACACATACGTATATGTGTCAGTTGTTTGTTTAGTTCTGTTTATTTCCAAAAGACTAAGCCCTTTCCTCTGTCTGTTGGGTAAGGTGAGGAACTGATTACTCATATTCCCCCTAGAGCTGTGGCTGAGCTCCGCTGAGAAACAGCTTTTATTTGGTTGAAGTTCACTTCTGATTAACCCAACTACAAACACCGATGCCACCACTGCTGGGGGCCTGATCTTTATTATCTCTTCAAGTATGTAAGCTAGGCTGGGGTTAGACTACGGTTCCAGACAGCTTTGTTCATCTTTGCACTGAACTCCAGTGGGGCCCCAGGATTTAAGTTCAGTGGCAGTGCTTTGGCTTTATGACAGTAAGTGCTGAAAGCCTCTCTGTCCCTCCCTGTGGCCTCTCTGATCTCCTCTCCTGCTACCGCTTCACCAAACTGCCAGCACTGATGCTCACTCTCGTCCTCAGACAAGCCAAGGATGCTCTCGCTTTAGGTCCTTTGTACCTACCTGGACTGCTCTTCCCTCACTAATTCATGTCTCTGGTCAAATCTCACCCTTTTAGAGAGGCCTTCCCCAACCACCTTGCAGAAAAGATCCTCCTCTACCCTCACTGTGGTTCTTGTTGTTTCCTCCTTAGCCTGCTAAATTTTTTTGTAAGGCCCATATGACCGTCTGTTTTTCTGTATATTTGTGGTAATCTCCAGAGGATCTTCAAACACATCCAGAGCAGGCTCCCAGTAAAACCAGTTTAAAATCTCTCAGGACTTAGAACACTGTCAGAACTCCTTGGACCTAGACGGAGGTGGTCTTTGTCTGAAAAAGAATATATTTTATGTTCTAGGAACTGTTGACCTTCAAGGACATATCTGTGGACTTCACCCAGGAGGAGTGGGGACAGCTGCCCCCTGCTCATCGGAATCTATACCGGGAGGTGATGCTGGAGAACTATGGGAACCTGCTGTCAGTGGGTAAGGATGGGCGGAACATTCCAGAAAATGTTGCAGAAAACCTGTCCGTTACAGAAGAGTCATTAATTCTGAATTATTAAGTGTTATGGATTCATTTGAACTTGACCTTGAGTTCTGTATTAGAGGTGTCTCATTCCTTGGGGGAGCAGCTTTGGTGGAACTAGAATGGAAAGACATGCTATGGTGTCCCTTTCCATCTTCAGAGACCCTGACTGCCAGAGGACTAGAAAGAAATTCTGGGATGTTCTTAGAACTCAGTGTAAACATTCATACTCTGTTCATTCTGTTTTGTTTTGTTTTGTTTTGTTTTGTTTTGTTTTACTTTATAAGCAGGATATCAACTTTCTAAACCTAGTGTGATTTCCCAGTTGGAGAAAGGACAAGAGCCATGGATGACAGAGAAAGAAGGCCCAAGAGATCCCAGTTCAGGTGAGACTAGCGCAGAGAGTAACCTTTTAATATGTAGGCCAGAGTCCCCGAAGTCTCCCCAGGCTGTGGGGAAGGCTGAAGCCACTGGACAAGGCATGCGCTAAACCTCACGTTACCCCTCCCTCCGTCATTCCTTTCCTTCACCTGACCTTGCAAAAGTCTCTCTGGAGTTGGAGGGCAGGGTGTATTGTCTTAATTTAGGTTGAACTTGACTTTCCCTCTTTTCTTCAGTATCCTGAACTCTGCGTATCAAAAGCTCCTTTCTCTGAGCAGTCAGATGTACGTGGTATCTCTTCACAGAAAACACATCTCTTCTCAGGACTCTCACTGCATTCAATGGGTCTTTAATTTTCTCTCTTACATTCTATGTCCACTTTTCACCAATTTTCATTTTACAATTTCTGCTTTGATTTTCCCTCTCTTTTTAACTCATTTATCTATCTTTTGTGTTTTGGAGAACACCTGTATGAAATTTCTTGCAAGAGAAATTGCCACAGGATACCTTCTTCCCAAATTAAGTGGACTTTCACCATCTCTTTAAACTTTGCTTTATTATGAAATATTTTAGGTGTTCAGAAGGACATAGAGAACTTCATAACAAATTTCTATGTAGCTTCCATCTTGATTAAGAAAAAAGAGTTGAAGCCCTGCTATTCCCCTCTTACCTTTTGGAATACCAACTTTTCAGAGTTTAAATATTGTCATTCTGTGTGTCTTCATAGTTTTACTACGTATGTCTATCCTGCACTTGATCTTAGCCAAAAGGCCGAGAAGCGATACGTGTGTCTATCCTGGAACAATATAAAGTATTATTTTGCATGTTCTTTTTTTTTTTTTAAGTTTATTTAGCTTTGAGAGAGAGCACAGGCAGGGGAGGGGCAAAGAGAGAGAGGGAGACACAGAATCCAAAGCAGGCTCCAGGCTCTGAGCTGTCAGTGCAGAGCCAGACATGGGGCTCAGACCCACGAACTGTGAGATCATGACCTGAGCCAAAGTCGGACACCCAACCGACTAAGCCACCCAGGCGCCCCTGTATGTTCTTATTCTTTAAATAATTGATGTATATACTTCTTCTGCTTGCTTTTCTCATTCAACACAGTTGATATTTATCTATCTTGTTCTAGTTATTTCTGTTGAGTTAATAAATAAATTTATGTATCCATTTCCCTGTGAATAGACATTTGTATTGTTTCTAAATTTGGGGGTTTCCAAGATGCAGCAAGTCTTCCTGTAGTGTCTTCTTGTGTACACGTGCAAGTACTTCTCTGTGATGTTTGGTGGAAGCAAAACTGTGGGGTCATGGAGTAGATGCATCTCTGTTTTGCTTGATATTACCAACTTGCTCTTCAAAGCGGTGGCACCAATTTGTACTCCCCTGAGCAAGCCTTAAGAGTTTCCAGAGCACAGCATCTTTGTCAACACTTGGCTTTGTCAAACTTTAAACTTATTGTAAATTTGTGGGTGAATGTGGTATCTTACTGTTTCTTTCATTTTCCTCATTACTAGCAGGAGGAGCATACTTTCTGTGTTTATTGACCATCCAGTTTTCTTTTATGTAAAATCCTTTGCCAGTTCTGTTACTATTTTGTTCTTGATTTATAGAATAAATGTACATAATATATATCATCTGCTATTTCTAAGTTTGACTTTTCATATTTAGAGTTAATTCACCTGGAATTATTGTATGTGTAGTGGGAGATGAGGACCTAGTTTGATTTTTCCACATGGATAATCAGTCCAGGAACCATTTATTTAATAGTTAATACCACTCTGTTACCTGTCAAGTTTCCTTGTATACTTGCGTCTGTTCTAGGCACTGTATTCTGTTCTATTTTTCTATTCTAGCCCTGCTCTAATGCCAAGCTGTCGTAATCACTGTATGTCACCGTAAAACTTAATATGTGGTAGTTCTCCCACTTTGTTCTTCAGAATTGTTCTCGTTATTATTCGCCCCTTGCTCTTCCATGCAAATTATATAATGAATGCATGAAATTTCACACACATGCAAATACTCTGGTGGTATTTTGATTGGCAGAGAATTGAATTTATAGATCAACTTTGGGGAGAATTAATATGATATTCAGTTTTACTATCTAGAAACGGGATATTGCTCCATTTATTGGTGTTTCCTAACATTTTTTTAAAAAATAAAGTTTCAGAATTTTCCTTATAAAGGTCTTGTACGTAATTACATCTCTTTTGTCGGAGTTATCTTGAAGACCTTATATTTTGCTGTTTTGATGGTATGTATTTTAAAATTATGTTTTCTGTTTGTTGCTGGTGTGTAATAACAGCTGGATTTTATATATTGATTCTGTAGCTAGCCACCTTATTTCATTCCATTATTTATTCCAGTAATTTGTTTATATATTCTCTTGGATTTTCTCTTTTTCAGCTTACAATAATGAAAATAGTAAGAGCTACCATGAATTTCGATTTTCCAGTCCCTTTAAATAATAAGAACAATTTGATTTTAGTAAAACATTTTAGCTTACTGCAATAACAAAAATTCCCAACTTCATTCAAAGCTAAATCTTCTTGGGGTGCCTGGGTGGCTCAGTTGGTTATCTGTCAGACTTTCTGATTTCGGCTCAGTTCATGATCTCACAGTTTGTGAGACTTTTGGGATTCTCTCTCCATGTCTGTCTGACACTCCCCTGTCATGCATGCGTTTTCTCTTTCAAAATAAATCAACATGTGGTGGCATCTGGGTGGTTCAGTCAGTTAAGCATCTGACTTTGACTCAGCCCATGATCTCACACTTCATGAGTTCGAACCCCGTGTCGGACAATGTGCTGTCAGCTCAGAGCCTGGTACCTGCTACAGATTCTGTGTCTCCCTCTCTCTCTGTCCCCCCCTGATTGTGCTCTGTTTCTCTCTCTCTCAAGAAAAAATAAACGTTAAAAAAAAAAAAAATAAACCTTTTTAAAAACATTAAAAATCTCTTCTTGGTCCTTCTTCGGGCCTGCATATTGAATTGGGGAAGGGGATGTGCCATAAATGGCTTCTTCTCTCCTTCCCTGTCTTCTTCTCTTCCCCCTCCCATATTCAGGACCAGAATCAGAAGCCTACAGAACACAGACTCTATTATTGCCTTTACTCATTAAGAATTTGGAAGTACTATTGATCCTTTTGTGTTGACTGAAAAATCTTACAAGAAGTTATACCTTTCAGGAATGCAGATCTATCAGTTGAAATATTAGTAATGTGTACAACAAATTATCAAAAAAGCCAGTCAGAACTGCAAAGATTAAAAGATATTTTCATAGAACATAGCAATATTAGCAACATAGTAGTCTGGGTTTCTTACAAGTCTCCTTTGTATAAATAACATTTCTAGGGACAGATTAATAACCACAGGGAGTAGAACAAAGCAAATATTGGTACAAGTTTTGATAAAAGACAGCTTAATGTTCTCATAAAAGTTCTTAGTTCAGACTTTAGTTTTTTGGATTTTTTTCAGACTTTAGTTTTTGGGTGAGCATCTCCTGCTGCTGCTGGTGTGGGGAGAGGACGTCTTTTTATATTTCTGAGATTGTTTTCCAAAAGTAGTTGTCAATTGAAAAGATACCCTTACGAAAGAGCTCTGATATTTCATTATTTAGTATTAGAAAGAGCAGGTCTAAAGTGTTCAACTTTTAGTCTCTATATAAAATCACACATTTACCTTACTTCCTGTTTCTTAACTTCCCATTACCTTCCCATATTGCATAGCCATTTTTAAATGTGCAATTGACCTTGAACAACACTGGTGTGAACTGCATGGGTCCACTTATTGTATGTGTATTTGTTTTTAATGTTTATTTTAGAGAGGGAGTAGGTGAGTGGGGGAGGGGAAGAGGGAGATAGAAAATCCAAAGCAGGCTCCACGCTGTCAGCGCAAAGCCTGATGTGGCACTCAAACCCATGAAACGTGAGATCATGACCTGAGCCAAAGTTGTATGCTCAATGGACTGAGCTACCTAGGTGCCCCTGGACTTTTTTTTTTTTTAATGAAATGATTTGTAAGCTTTTAAAAAAATGTTTATTTATTTATTTTGAGAGAAAGAGAGAGCACAAGCAAGGGAGGGACACAGAGAGAGGGAGAGTGAATCCCAAACAGACTCCATGCTGTCAATGCAGAGCCTAACACGGGGCTCAGTCTCATGAACTGTGAGATCATGACCTGAGCCAAAATCAAGAGTCAGACACTTAACCAACTGAGCCACCTAGGCATGCCTATATGTGGATTTCTTTTCTTTCTTTTTCTTTTTTAAGTTTATTTTTAAGAGAGAACGTGAGCAGTGAAGGGTCAGAGAGAGGGAGACACAGAATCCAAAGCAGGCTCCAGGCTCTGAGCTATCAGCACAGAACCTGACACAGGGCTTGAACTCACAGGGCTTGAGATTATGACCTGAGCCAAAGTCAGATGCTTAACTGACTGAGCCACGCTGGTGCCCCCATGTGGATTTTTTACAGTTCATTTTCCTTTCTCTTTATTGTAAGAATCTTGTATATGTTACATATAACACAAAAAGTGTTAATTGACTTATTGGTGAGGCTGCTAGTCAATAGTAGGCTATTAGTTAAGTTTTGGTGGGAGCCAAAAGTTATACATAGGTTTTTTTTTTTACTGTGTTGAGGTTGATATCCCAACCCCCATGTTGTTCAAGGGTCAACTATAATCAAAATCTCATATGCTGTATATGTGTAGTTCTATAAATTTCTATTCCATATCCATTATAGTAATTGAGTTTTCAAAGCATAATGAATATGAGTTATGTGCATTTTCCCATTTCTTTCAGGCTTGAAGAATAAAACAGAAACCAATACGTCAGCATCAAAGAATGACATTTTACAGAAACAGTTATATCGTGGCATTTTGATGGAAGGGTTCCTGAGAGAAGATGTCATTTATTCCACCTTGAGAAGAGCCTCTAAATATGAAGGTGAGTTAGAAAGGCACCAGGAATCCCATGGAAGTGATATAAAACACGCCATCCTGACCCCCAAGAAGAGTGACGAAGAAACTAACAAATTTGGGGAAAATATTGTCAGCTCAAATGTTACGATAGAACAGAGGCACCGTAAATGTGATACACCTAGAAAGAGGAATAAATACAAATTAGACCTGATTAATCACCCGAGTTATGTAAGAACAAAAACCTATGAATGTAATATATGTGAAAAAATCTTCAAACAACCCATTCATCTTACTGAACACATGAGAATTCATACTGGTGAAAAACCTTTCAGGTGTAAGGAATGTGGAAGGGCCTTCAGTCAAAGTGCCTCCCTTACTACACACCAGAGGATCCACACCGGCGAGAAGCCCTTTGAATGTGAAGAATGTGGCAAAGCCTTTAGGCATCGCTCATCTCTTAATCAGCATCACAGAACTCACACTGGAGAGAAACCCTATGTGTGTGATAAATGTCAGAAAGCTTTCAGCCAGAACATCAGCTTGATCCAACATTTGAGAACTCATTCTGGAGAGAAACCCTTCACGTGCAATGAATGTGGGAAAACCTTCCGACAGATTAGACACCTCAGTGAACATATAAGAATTCACACTGGGGAGAAACCCTATGCATGCGCTGCGTGTTGTAAAACCTTTAGTCATAGAGCGTATCTAACGCATCACCAGAGAATCCATACTGGAGAGAGACCCTACAAATGTAAGGAATGTGGGAAAGCCTTTAGACAGAGGATACACCTTAGCAACCACAAAACTGTTCATACAGGCGTGAAGGCATATGAATGCAACCGCTGTGGAAAAGCCTACAGGCACGATTCATCCTTTAAGAAACATCAGAGACGCCACACTGGAGAAAAGCCTTATGAGTGTAATGAATGTGGAAAAGCCTTCAGCTATAATTCATCGCTTAGTCGGCACCATGAAATACACAGGAGGAATGCCTTTCGAAATAATGTGTAGAAATGGATCATTCAAACACGAGAACAAAAGCTAACTCTAAATCAGTGATTCTGTGCTTTTAAATTCCAGGATTCTAAATTTGAGGAATTGATGCAATGATGCTAGCTTTTATTTTTGCCTGTTGTGTAAATAAACAGTACATTGATAACTATTATCTACTAACACCTCTATACAAAGTACTTAAGGGTAAAGGATGGTCTTTCAAATTAAATTCAGCATTACGGATGATGCACACATAATTGTTATCGGATTTCATGGTAGATCAGTTATCTCCTTGGGGATTCTCTGATTTATAGACTAACATTTGGGAAGTACTGTTGAAAATATCACCATCCCTATTTTTTAAGTAACTTCCTTTTTTTAAATGAAGAAACTTACAAATGTGATAGAACTCAAAAGGCATAGACATTTGTATAAGTGAAAATCCTTTTCCTACATCCACCACCAAATTCTGCCTTAGAGGCAACGATTTTTTATAACTTTTTATGCACCCTTCAAGAGATCTTTTTTATTTGTATCCAAGAGAATACAAATGCAGAGTTCTTTTTGAGCATAAATGGCAGCTTCCTCTGTCAACACATCTGCACATTACTTTTATTAACCATGTATCATGGAAGTCATTCCATATTAGTAGATGAAGTGCCTACTCACTCTTTTTTATAACTGCATGGTATTCTGTGGTTTGAATGTACTTTAATTTATTTAGCCAGTTCACTATGGGTGGACTTTTGGATTTCTAATCTTTTGTTGCAATGAATAGTCTTAACACATTTTTCTTCCTTACACATGTAAGTGTTTGTGTAGGGTAAATCCCAAGAACTGGAGTCTCTGTGTGCTAAAGGGTATGTGCACTTGTATGATGGTTATTGCCAAATTGGCTTCATAGAGGTCGGACCAGTTTATTTTCCCACCAGCAAGAGAACTAGGAGCCACCCGATGCTGAAGCATGTCCTGGACCAACAGCCCTTTAGGTCATCAAAGAAGAATCCTTTTGTCTCAATAACTAAGTGTGGAAGTCTGAGCTGCGTCCGCAGAAGGAGCGCTGCTTGCCATTCCTGGAGCCAGAGAGGAGTCTGCATCTTACCAAACAGCAGCCAAGCCCACCAAAATCTCAGCTGGAGAAGGAGAAGCCCTCTTTCTACCAACTGCTCCAGTCTCTGACCTCTGGACTGGAGCTGCCTGATCAATGAGAGTTCCTTTAAAGAGACCAATCCACTTGTCTTAGAGGTCAGATCTTGGCTGCAACCCCTGTGGGAACGGAGCAACACTGATAATTGAGTCGCGGTACTTCAGATGGCAGGGTGCCGATGGATGGTCCACCACACAGCATTACAGGATGGTTACAGTTAATACGTGGAGGAAGAGAGACAAAAGGTAGGGCATGACTGTCTAATAAGCATTAATTAATGAAAGTATTAATCAACATTGCTTATGTTGTGAAAACTGAGCACCAAGATCAGGGCCACATGGTTTTGTACATGTTAATTTTTCAATCTGGTAAATGTTTATTAAAGTTTTAGTGAGTGATTCTGTGAAATGTTAATAGATTTCCCCTCACTCCCGTTCACTGCAGTTATAAACCAAAGCCTGGCACTTAGATCCTCCATTATAGCTCTTGCTACTTTATAGTTCCATGCCCCATTATCCTCCTTCCTATATGGACTCTGACTAAACTCAGTAGATTGGTTGAGACTCTTTGGTCAAACAACAGAAATCAGTTGGGGCTATTTAAGTCTCAGTGTGGGGGTGTTATTAGAGGGATTTTGGGGTATCCTGTAATTCATGGGCTGCAGTACATTCTAACAGCAGACTGGGCCTAGGACCTGAAGCACGTTAGAAAACCCAGGCAGCTTTCTGTCCATCTCTCACCTTTGCTTCTTGTGTTTTCATTTTTTTTTTTAGTACCTCATTACAAACCACAGTTACCATTAGCTCCAGATTTTACATATATTCTTTCCGACACCCAGAAAAAAGAAAAAAAAAATGTCCCCCTCACTTTCAATCTTTAAATCCTGGGGAAGGTCTCACTGGCCCAGCCAGGTCAGGTGCGCACCTCTAAAGTCAGTTGTAGAAAGAACTTCTGTGGGAACCATGTTGTTGATGTGAATGGGGTGGGGAGTTATGTGGCTGGAGGGGGAGGAGAGCAGAAAGAGCTACTGTTCAGGGAATTCCAGATCCTACCCGCTCTTTTTTAAAAACATTTTTTAAGTATTTATTTATTTATTTATTTTTAGTATTTTTTATTTATTTCTAGGAGAGAGAGGGAGAGAGAGACAGCGTGAGCAGGGGAGGGTCAGAGAGAGAGGGAGACACAGACTCTGAAATGGGCTCCAGGCTCCGAGCTGGCAGTCAGCACAGAGCCCGACGCGGGGCTCGAACCCAGGAACCGCGAGATCATGACCTAAGCGAAAGTCAGACCCTTAACCCACTAAGCCACCCAGGCGCCCCTTAAGTGTTTATTTTTGAGAGATCAAATGGGAGAGAAGCAGAGAGAAAAGGAGAGACACAGAATCTGAAGCAGGCTCCAGGCTTTGAGTTGTCAGCACAGAGCCCCACGTGGGGCTCAAACTCATGAGCCATGAGATGATGACCTGAGCTGGAGTCAGATTCTTAAGTGGCTGAGCTACCCAGGCGCCCCAGATCCTACCTAATCTTCAGCACCAGCTAATAAGATCCGAATTTTAGAACTGGGTAAGGTCTAGGAATCAACCGTTTTAGAATTCTTCACTTTATAGATGAAGAAATGGAGAGTCCCCTTCTTTAATTACTCATGTCTTTTATGTGAGTTGTGTTTTTGAGCATTTTTTCCTCCAGGTTTAGCCTGGTTTTCCAAACACCTGCCCTTAATGGCTACACAAGCCATTCTCTTTTAACAGTTTTTCGTAGATCTGCTATTACTTCAGAGGCCTTTATGATTTTAGAGCTTACCCGTTGGTTTTGCCTGTTATCATTGCCTGTTCCTTCCTTCCGGCTATCTTAGAGGCACTTCTCCCTTTGCTAATCACATAAATGCTCTGTCTCAGGATTGTGCCCTTAACCATGTTCTTCTCTCAAGCTACACGGTTTGTTTAACTGATTGTTAACCTCTCAACACTTTACATCTATATCTTAGGATATCTCTCTTGAGCTCTAGAACATTATATTCAACATTGTGTTGAATGTCTCTATTTGGATATACTCTGGTCCTCTCAAAATATGTCCAAACCCAACTCAATCTTTTCAATAAAATCTATGTCCTTAATACAGTAAGTAGTACCACCCTCCACCCAGTTCTCCAGTGTGGACTTCCTCTTCTCATCCATCACCTCCCCTGTCACCAAGTCCTGTACATTCTATTTGGGATCTGTTCTATTTGGGATCTATATCTGCCTATCCATTTCTTTGTCAGCTCTTTAATTAGGCTGTTAGCACATCCTAACTAGAGCTCCAACTGGTATTTCTATATCCAATCTGGACTCCTCTTTTTTCAAGTTTGGTATTAATTTTATTCTATTTTCTGTATAACTTTTAAGTACATAAAGGTTTATTTCCACAGGCCTCAGGAAATGGGTAGAAGTCACAGGACAATCTCTCTTCCCACCAAAAAAGTTGCATATTTTGGTAAGTGTCCTAGAGGGAAAAACTGTAATTTACATTAGCAATGCTGGGCACGATTCTTACACAAGACCTAACACCAGGCAGCGGGGGAGATTTGAGTCCTTTGTTCAGGTGCCCGGACAGAAACCAAAAGCAGTTGGGCGTGACAGGGCAAAGGTGAAGATGGAGGGCAGGCACCTAGCATGGAAGGAGGAAGGAATTCCAGATTCCTTGGAATGGTGTATTTTCCTTTTGTTTGTTTGTTTAAGTCACCTCTGTAGGAAGGTGCTGGGCAGGGATCCCAGTGAAAGAAAGGGTCCAAGACTCCTTTACCTGGCCTGGGTGCAGGGCTCTGCCCAGCAGCTGATACAGGAGAACCTGCTCGCTCAGGTTCCGGCAGACCCTCGATGGAATGCTGATAGGAATCAATTTTGCTTGGAATTCTAGAAGGCCAAGCTTCAGCCTTTGGTCCCGTGAGACCCCTGCCTCCCCTGTCAACAGTGAAAAATCAGTTTGGTTAGAAGAACCAGCTAGAGTCACAGCAGCCTCTGCTACCTTCGTGTGCACTGTTAGAAAAAGATGAACCTGTGTGACCATTCTGATCTGTTAGTTCCTGGGGACCGCTTTACTCTTCCCAAAAGACTGTTAGTTGGTCAAATAACCCCCAAAGGCCGAAGGCTAAAACACACCAGTCCTGGTGTGCAGTTCCGGAAGGATGGACTGGTGGTGTGGTGGGGCGGACATGGAAAAGCCGCACCTTCCTGCAGAAAGAAGATCAACCGACCTGCTCTCCCACCCAAATCTCAGCCTGAGGTATATTTCAGTGAAGGCAGGTAGCTGTGCTTCTCAGAGCAGAGAAGCAAGTTAAGAGCAGAAAGGTAGAGGAAATCTAGAAAAGAACCGTCTTGATACAGATTTATCCCATGGTGTGAGGGAGAGGGCAAAGAACCCAGTGGCACTTCGCTTATCCAGCAATTTCTGTCACTGTGGTGACCAACTTCTGCCCGTTCCATAGGGTCTTGAACTGCTTAGGGACTGGGAATTCATTCTGCAAATTAAAAAACGGGTTTAAATCCAAGCTACAAAAGAAGCTGGGGTTAAATCCTACACTTTCATCCCAGTGCTTGCTTCCACTAAACTATTAGAGCTATGTGCGATTAAAACAGCAAGTGACATTTGGGGCCCCCTGGAAGGCTCAGTTGGTTAAGCATCCAACTCTTAATTTCATTTCAGGTCATGATCTCACAGTTCATGAGATCGAGCCCCACATCGGGCTCCATGTGCTGACAGCACAGATTTTCTTTCTCCCTCTCTCTCTCTCTGCCTCTCCCCCACTCATGCTGCACACATACTCTGTCTCAAAATAAATAAACTTTTAAAAAAGTGATATTTGATCTTCAGCAGGTGGTACATTATGGCTGACATGCAAAACCCAGTAGAAAGATTGGAGAGGGCGGCAGGCCACCTGGAGGCAGTCTCCCAGGCCTCTGACACGCGCTGTGGATAAGGAGACGGTGCTCCATAGGTGTAAGCGTTTGACTCCCTGCTTACCGGTCCTGGGCAGAGTGCCTGAGGATCAGTGAAGAGACTGGGGGAGATGTGCAGAAACGTGCAGAGATGGTACAGACAGTTCTGAAGCTGGACCAAACACTTGGTTACAGCCTCTCCGTGCCAGCAGCCAGCAGGCAAAAAACTTCTTGATTTGTTGGCAACCATCTCAGAGCAGATACAAGAAGTGGTAACCTTCCTGGAGTTCTGCCTCACCTGCAGACTTGGACTCACCTTTCTGTATTCCCCATTCTAAACACAGAATTCCTCCTTCTAAAACACACAATCAAAATTAACCTAATTTTATGGCTCAAAATCCCTCCATGGGTTCTCATAACTTGAAGATACACTTTATCTTCTGTATTCTTTTTTTTTTTTTCCAATCTTTCCTTTTGAGAGAGATAGAGTGTGAGCAAGGGAGGGGCAGAGAGAGAGGGAGACACAGAATCAGAAGCAGGCTCCAGGCTCTGAACTGTCAGCACAGAGCCTGAAGTGAGACTCGAACTCAAAGACAGTGAGATCATGACCTGAGCTGAAGTTGAACACTTAACTGACTGAGCCACCCAGGCGCCCCTCTGTATTCTTCTTAGTACAGAACACTTAGCATAGAGCATTGCCTATTTTTCTGGCAGTGTCTCCCAAATTTCCCCTCAAACATGCTTTGCTCCAGCCATGAAGATCTTATGGTCCTGTAAGTGTTCCTGACCCTTGCATGGTTCTGGCCTCCACTGTGCTATTTTCCCTCCTCCTGCCTAATTTCTTTGTCAGCGCCTCCTCATCCTCCCAGATGTACCCTGTGTCACGTCATCAGGGACTAATACACAAAATTGTGTCTTCTTGGATGAACACTTGGAATTCTTGACTGAATTTACTAAATACAGTGATAGGCCTTATCATACAGGATTTTTTTTTAAATCAGAAAGTGACAACATAGGGTTTTAATTTTATAGTATTCCTCTGGAATCTGTGTACGACCATGGGGCCAACATGAAACAATAGCCAGACAATAGTGCACCACTTCAGTTTGCTCAGTTTGTTGCTTGCTTGACTTTCTTTTCTTATCATTGCTAAGATGGGTTTGCACTTCCAAAAAGAAAAAAAGAAATTTAATCTTTGCTTTAGGCTCTGTTTTCTGTTATTTTTTTTTTTAACGTTTTATTTATTTCTGAGAGAGAGAGCATAAGCAGGGCAGGGTCAGAGAGAGAGGGAGACACAGAATCTGAAACAGGCTCCAGGCTCTGAGCTAGCTGTCAGCACAGAGCCTGATGCAGGGCTCGAACCCACAAACTGTGAGATCATGACCTGAGCCGAAGTCAGCTGCCCAACCGACTGTAGGCTCTGTTTCCTGGAAGACTCTGGCTAAGACAAGTTTATAACCCCAGTTTGATTAATCAGGAAGGTGGGAGAATTTCTGGATTTATTTTTGAGGTATTAGGGAAATAGACTTCCTTTTTTCCCTACTAGATACAAATCTGGAAGGCTATATCCCTGGAAGCTACTGGTAGTATCAAAGGAGGGAAGTTGCTTAGAAATGAGCAAAGAGGAAAGTGATCCAAGAAATGAAGACAGAAAACTCAAATCCCATCATACAATTTGACCCCTGGATCAAGCCTCACCTGAAGGTAGAACCCCTAGCTCTTCAATCTCTTAAAAATGAATAAACCCTAATTGATTAAAGGCTTCATATGTCTTACATCTGAAGCTGCTGGTTTTTAGAAGAAGGCCTCGGTCTTATATCCTTAGCTCATTTCCAAATCCCTCAACTTCCTACGTTAGGGCTATCTCCTCTGGCTTTCTCCAAGTAAACAATGCCCTTTTCGAAGATCAGAAAAGGCTGAAGAGAGGCTGATCTTAATATGTGGAAGAAAAGATTCTCAAACACAGAATATTGTCAGTGGGCTTCTCTTGAGCATATAAAAAGTATGTCAGTAAAGGTTCTAGCACCTGTGAGGAAAACAAACTTGAGCAAAATAAATTTCCTGCCCTTAGGCTCTGTTGCCCTGGAGGAGCACTGTCCAATAGAAGTTTAATGTGAGCCATAACACAAATGTGATCCACACGTGTAATTTAAAATTTTCTGGCAGCCACAATAACACAATAAAAAGCAATAAGGAAGTTAGTTTTATAATACATTCATTTAACCCAATATATACAAAATATTATAATTTTAATATGTTATCAATATAAAAAATTATGTGTTATTTTCATTCATTTTTTTTTGGTACTAAGTCTCCAAATTTTTTTTACATTTATTTATTTTTGAGAGATAGAGTGAGACAGAGCGTGAGCAGAGGAGGAGCAGAGAGAGAAAGAGACACAGAATCTGAAGCAGCCTCCAGGCTCTGAGCAAACCTTCAGCACAGAGCCCGATGTGGGGCTCAAGCCCAGGAACCGTGAGATTATGACCTGAGCTGAAGTCGGACGCCCAATTGTCTGAGCCACCCAAGTGCTTGTACTAAGTCTGCAAAATCTGGTATTAAGTACATCTCATTGTGGACTAGCCACATTTGCAGTGCTGAAGAGCCACATGTGGCTAGTGGTTACTTCATTGGACAGTGCAGCTCTAGAGAATAATGATACAGATGCATACTTTTGTCCCACAGACTCTTATAAAGAAGACTGTAATCGGGGCAATGTTGTGAGGTACTATCATTTGTGTTTAACAGTGTTTACATGGTTACAGCTATCCCTGGGGTCGGAGAAACTGTATCAGTGACTTCTGTACAGGAGTGGGCCTTGCATGCCCAGACTTCCTAGGATATATATAGCCTTTTGGGAAAAGGGCATGGCATTATTAAATTTGAGTCCCTCAGTGTTGAGAATGAAAGCTTTGGGGAACATGTCCTAACTGACTTGGGAATCTCTTCTGCTTCACTCCCCCTGCCCCGCGTCACCGTGCCCCCAAACTTCATTTGAAGACAGGTGCATGTGTAAAGGTCGAGACAAGGCTTGCCTGGCATTGGAAGCTACATTTTGGCTACAGAAGGTTATACTGGAGAGGAGGTGGAAACCTTCCCCAGCCTCAGTCCAGCAATGCCTACTCATTTCACTTGATTAAAAAGATTTGCCCCAACTTTTCATTGAGATCAAGGTTTTTCCTACATAACCACAAAATCACGATCACACCAGCATACTTATAATTGATAGATACTATTATCTAATATACAGGTCACATGTAATTTCCCTAACTATTCTTTCTAGTATTTTCTATTTTACTTTTAAGAAATCCCAGGCACCCGAGTGGCTCAGTTGGTTAAGTGTGGGACTTTGGCTCAGGTCATGAACTTGGGGTTGGTGGGGTGGGTTCCAGCCCCAAGTGGGGCTCTGTGCTGACAGCTCAGAGCCTGGAGCCTGTTTTGGATTCTGTGTCTCCTTCTCTCTCTGCTCCTCTCCAACTTGCACTCTGTCTCAAAAATAAAAATAAAACATTCAAAAAATTTAAAAAAATCTTTTTCCTATTTTGAAGTCCAAACAATGCTGTATTACATTCTAAAAACTTTATAGCTTAGCTTTTCACATTTAGGACTTTAATACTCCTGGAATTGATCTTTGTGAGGAAGATAAGAGCTCTTACAGACTTATTTTCATAAGGACACCCTGCGGTCACAGAACCTTCATTGAAAGATCATCTTTTCTTCGTTGCTATGCGATGCTGCCTCCATCGTAAATCAAGTTTCTCATTCGTGATGAAACTAAAGAAAAGCCAGGTAGTGACTGTCATAAAAGTCAGGCTGGCGGTTTCCTAGGGAAGGAGGCATGGGAGTGTATTTGGAAAGGGCTTGCCACTTTTCCGTTTTTGACCTAACGGTGCCCTATCTTTTAAATATTTTTATTTAGCTTTGTTCCCTATTTCAGAATATATCTGTGATATGTCCCAATAAAAAGGCTAAGACGGGCGCCAGCATCTCTGCAAAGGGAGCTCGCGGTGGTTCTCAGCTGGGAAAGCCGGCGCCGCGGCCGAGTGGGTGCGGAGTCCGGGAGAGGCAAAGCCGCGACACGGCAGGCAACGGGCAGAGGCCGCTGCACCGGGGACGGGGCCGCGCCCACGCCGCTCCCGGACCCGCGCGTGGAGGGGCCGCGGTGAGAGCTTCTGGGTCGGGTGACAGCTCAGTTCCGTCTTGGAGACAAGTCGCACGCACAGCCAGCGGCCCCCGGGGACAGTACGCCCGAAGGCTGCCGCTCGCCTTGGCTCCCTACTCAACCCGCCGCTAGAGGGCGTCCGCTACGCCGTGGACTCGCGAAGCGAGCGGCGCCGCGGCGGCCTCTGGGAGGGGGCGGGCTTCGGGCCGGCGCGGGGCATTCTGGGTCAGCGCTCTGGCCGCACGGGCGCAGAAGGCTCTGTGCGAGGCGCCGCCTGCAGGTCCGCGGTGGAGCCCGGGAGCAGCAGCCGGGCCGCGGCGGAGCCGGGGAGAGAGCCCGCGTTTCGGAGGAGTAGCCAAGGTTAGGGCAAGGCCGGCGAATGGGTGGCTGAGCGGCTGCGGTGTGGAGGCCAGGGGTCTGTCCCCGCGGTTGCCCGGTTCCCCGGTGGGAGCGGCCCCCTTGCAGCGGCGTGTCGTGTCTGCCTTCGCAGGCACTCTCCTGTGGGTTCTGGACCTTTCGTGGAGGACCCCTGGGACCTCTTCCCGAGGCCGGCGACCCCTTGCTGTCATTTCCGGCTCCTGCGAGACTGAGGGAGTGCTCAGTAAACTTTAGGGCAAGCTTGGAATTCCTGGGGCGACAGTGGTCTGGGGCCAGTGGAAAGGTCCTGGCAGAAGGCAAGCGCCGTCGGAGCCCGCAAATCGGCCTGCACCCAGCAAGTCAGAGTGCGGAGGGTGAAGGTAGTGGCCGTCCCACAGGCAGCAGGAACCCATCCGAGGAGAAAAGCCTCTCACCTGAGATCTCTGCTGAGCACCTGGGCTGAGGTTTGGGGCTGGAAGAGGGAACCGGTCTTGGAGCTCCTGGGGGACTTTGGTTATTTTTGACTCTCTCGCTTGCAGGGAGCAAGGCTTGAATTAAGTAACTGCATCCGGGGTGTGGGGCAAACGAAGAAGTCTTGGAGAATTTGATTCAGGAGAGAGGCGAGCGTTACCTAACTTCTGGGATGGGCAGCAACCTGTGCAGTGGGGCTCGGAGAGGAGGAAATGCCTCAATGTGAAGGACTGGACAGGTGAGAAAGGAAAAGTCCCCATTTTACCACAGCAAGACGCAGAGTAGCTAATTAGGATTCTTCAGTGCAAACCTGGTTTTTCAGAGCTCCTTTCTCCTCCCATACCCCTCACTTTCTGGTAAGGAGAAAGATCCGCCAAGTCCCAGGTTTGTCAAAACGAATAGATACGCTATCTCATCTCTTCCTTGGGTCCTTGGGTAGGGGACGGAGATCGCTAGTATCTTTGTTTTGTTTTATCACTGTTTTGAGTAGCTGAGGACAGTTGGAGGGAGTACCCTAAGGGTCAGTAGCTTCAGGAAAATTGAGGAAGTTGCTCAAGAGTACTCATTAGGCAAGTGGCATGCTACTGAATACTACTGACCTAGTTAGGATTAGGTTTAGAATCTAGATCCCCAGGACCCCTAGACTCTTGGCACTATGTTGGTATTTCCCAAACATTTCATTCACTTACCACCTGAGAGTTGTTGCCATTCCTGTGTACTACCTGTATGGTTATTTTCATATCTAAAAATTTTAAATTTCTTTCATTTAAAGACCACACTTGTGCTAAGAAACAGTATGAAATTATGCATTTGATGTATACATTTGAATACAGCTTTATAGTCTAAGATGTGTCTAAAAATGTTGACCATTGTACCATGTGAAATCATCTCCTGTCAGAAAAATACAAACTGCATTTGGAGACACGATGCACTGTAACATGCTCTTGCCTGGAATTCTTCTGTATAGGAAAGTCCAGGCAGCACATCTGAGTCTAAATTGCTCATCCCTAGTGTATTGTTTTCTTGTAGATCAACAATGTCACAGAGAATGCCTCCTTTTTGTTTCTTCTCTACAAAACAATTTCACTTAACCTGTTCAGGGCTACCCTATTCTCAGTATGTAAAACAAGTACAAAGTTCATAACTTTTAGGAGCTTTCCCTCCCACCCTCTCTGGGGAGTGAATACATACACATAGAATAATCTAAATCACTACTGTTCAAAAGAATTTTCTGGAGTCAGGGAAGTGTTCTGTATCTTTGCCTTACGATGTGATACCCACTAGCCACACGTAGCTACTGATTACTTGAAATGTGCCTAATGCAGCAGAGAAATGGAGTTTTACATTTTATTTAAACTAATTTATTTAATTAGTTAATTTAAATTTAAATAGCCACATGTGGCTCGTGGCTACATATTGGCCAGCCCAGATGTACATATTTGAAATAAAATGTTTTCAAGGTCAATTGATGTAGATTTAGTGCCTTCCCCTGTGGGGGGGGGGGTAGGGGAGGTGGGAGAGTGGGGAACACCCAAAGTCTACATGTCAGTTGCCATTTAATTTCATTTTCTTGACACAGGATAAAGATTCTTTCCAATTTTCAGGGACTTCCAACTTTTAGGGACTTTATGGTCTATGTAACATTACTCATAACAATACTCATTTGGAAATTGTCATCATCCAAGGCACATTTATAGTTTAAGACATTTGTGCAAGTGTGGGTCTTCTGTGTTTTATTATTATTGAACTATCCTGTGAAGCAATAACTTTATAGGATATAAGCAGAAATTTTAGGATTGTATTACTTTTGTTCATTGCAAATAACTTTTCTTCCAGCTATATGTGTTTTCTTTGAATAGCAACATTTAGACTTTTGAAAAATGAGTTAGTTACAACCATAGTGAATACCATTTTCAAGATATCAGTTCTTAAGCTTTTAATATGGCAGTTGGTGCGTTCAGTTTCTTCATTGCTTATTAGCAAAGAGGAAACTTAGTTCATAGTTATCTCAATCAGTTTAAATTTTGTGTCAGATTATTTTTCTGCTACCCAGAGTCCAATACTGGTAGACTGGTCATAGCTTGTTTTGTTTTGTTTTTAATCTATGCTAGGTTAGATATGTGAGATCAGGAAGGCTTAAGAATATCTTTACAAGATAATTTGTCTAGTTTCTTACGATTAAAACTGTTTGAGAGACAAAACAAATCAAACATAATGTGTAGTCTTTGTTTCCTGGTTTAAAGAAAAGCTATTTAAGACATCTTAGTGCAGTTGGAGAAATTTGAATAAGGATGGGAGTAGTCGGGAATTATTAATTTTGTTAGTTGTGATAACAGTAATGTAGTTAATGTAGGAGAATGTCCTTATCTGGAAATATATGCTGAAGTATTTATATCTGAAGTGTAAGGAGATCTACAATTTACTTTAAAATAGCCAAAAATACACACATGAAGATGCAAATACAGCAATATGTCATCAGTGGTTTATCTAGATGGTGTGTATATAGATGTTCGTTGTTCTATTTCTTTGTATATGTGAATTTTTTTGTAGTAAAAATTAAAAAAAAGAAGTACCTGCCTCACAGTGGAGTACTGAGATATTGGCTGTGAAGCACTTGGCTCAGTGTCTAGCACTCAGTAACTGCACAATAAATATTCACTATTGTAGCAAATACAGTAGTATTTTATTTGTGCTTATTGACAGATGTTTCAATCATAAGCTAATTTCTTGTGGAGAAAAAAATAAACTTAGTGGGCAACACCAATTTCTGTAACGGCCAGTGGATAATTTAGAAAGTCAGTAAGGATAAACTAGAACCCACCACGAGCTTTTCCTCTTTGCCATTTCCTTAATATATCTCAAATCTTGAAAGCAACTGATTTCCACTTGTTTCTGTGAACATCCTCTCTCATTACTTCATGCTATTACTTTTTTTTTAAGTTTATTTGTTTTGAGAAAGTGACAGTGCGGAAAGGGCAGAGAGAGAGAGAGGATTCCAAGTAGTCTCCGTGCTGCCAGTGCAGAGCCCAAAATGGGGCCCGAACCCACAAACCGCAAGATCATCACCTGAACTGAAACCAAGAGCCGGATGCCCAACTGACTGAGCCACCCAGGCACCCTGCATGCCATTACTTTTTGTATAAGCAGATCTATTTATACTTATCTATAGCTAGTCTTTGAATTTTGCTGTACTATATTCCTGAGAACTACATTTTAAAACAGCCATTGTAGAGCTGATTTTTCTCAAGGAATGGTTTGTACTTGAGTTTTATTTTCTTAGTCAAGGATTTTGTATTAGAAGGATCATAGAAGTGGCCATGTTTTTACCAACATTGCTTCAACATTTACAAAGATCTATATTCACTTAAAATAATGAAATAATATTCCAAGTCAGTAGACTTTTGAAGCAGAAAAGGCAAACCTCAAAGCTCCTTGTAAATGAAGAAATTGAGGCCAGAGCAATTCTGTTGTGTTGCTAATTGGTCATAAATAGCTAGGCTTCTCTAAAGAACGTAAATAAATAGTCATGATTCTTTTCATCTCATTAGAATTTTGAAGTGCTTTGGGGGCGCCTGGGTGGCTTAGTCGGTTAAGCGTCCGACTTTCGCTTAGGTCATGATCTCGCGGTTCGTGGGTTCGGGCCCCGTGTCGGGCTCTGTGCTGACTGCCAGCTCAGAGCCTGGAGCCTGTTTCAGTCTGTGACTCCCTCTCTTTCTGACCCTCCCCTGCTCATGCTGTCTCTCTCTCTCCTAGAAATAAATAAAAACATTTAAAAAAATTTAAAAAAAAAAAAGAATTTTGAAGGGCTTTGGATAAATGTGTCATTTGGATAATACATTTCTTTAACATGTTGTGCAGGGCCTTGTGCCATGGCAGAGACTGGGGAAGAGGAGACAGGGTCAGCAGAGGCCTCAGGGTTCTCGGACTTGAGTGACTCAGAGTTGCTAGAATATCTGGACCTGGAAGACACTCAGGAGTCATGTGCTTCACTTAGCAAGCCTGGCCCTTCTTCTGAACTCCCCCGGAAGGATAGCAAGATTGTAAGCTTGCCGAAATGGAAAAGAGGATTGGATGTCTCATCACCTATGGAGCGATTCCACCTTAAATATCTGTATGTCACTGACTTGTCTACTCAGGACTGGTGTGAACAGCAAATGGTATATGGGAAGGAGCTTCCTGGTTTCTTGGCTCCTGAGAAGGCAGCTGTTTTGGACACTGGTGCCAGCATCCACCTAGCTAGAGAACTGGAAGTTCATGATCTTGTAACTGTCCCCATCACCACTCAAGAAGATGCTTGGGCAGTTAAGTTTCTGAATATGTTATCAATGATTCCTGTCCTGCAGTCAGAAGGACGCATCAGAGAGTTTCCAGTGTTCGGAGAAGTGGAGGGTGTGCTGCTCGTTGGAGTAATTGATGAGTTGCACTATACAGCCAAGGGGGAACTGGAACTGGCGGAACTTAAGACACGCAGGCGCCCTATGCTCCCTCTGGAAGCTCAGAAAAAAAAAGACTTTTTTCAAATCAGCCTATACAAATATATCTTTGATGCCATGGTTCAAGGGAAAGTGACCAGCGCCAGCCTAATCCACCACACAAAATTATGTCCAGACAAGCCACTGGGACCTTCAGTGCTGAGGCATGCCCGGCAGGGAGGCTTCTCTGTGAAGTCCTTGGGTGACCTCATGGAGCTAGTCTTCTTGTCTCTAACACTGTCTGACCTCCCAGTTATTGATATTCTGAAGATTGAATACATCCACCAAGAGACTGCCACTGTGCTGGGTACAGAGATTGTGGCCTTTGAAGAGGAGGAGGTGAGAGGCAAAGTGCAGCACTATCTGGCCTACTGGATGGGCCACCGAGAGCCTCAAGGGGTTGAGGTGGAGGAGGCTTGGAAATGCCGGACATGCAACTATGCAGATATCTGTGAATGGAGGAAGGGTGGTGGGATGCCCAGCTCCATTCTAGAGCCCACAGCCAAAAAAGTGAAATGACCAGAAGGGTCGGGAACTTTCATCCTCCTTGCTTCTAATGCACTCAGCAAAGGAAAAGAGGACGAATCTTTGAGCTTAGCTTCCATGGAGAATATTCTTAATTTTTGTTCTTTTCATATTTTCTCAAACTAACTGCTCAAGTCAAGACCAAGTTTCAGGGGTGAGTGGGAGAAATCTGGGGTTATATGGTCCCTGGAACTTTGCTGTAAATCGCCAAGAAAACAGTTGCTCATTGTGGCTGGAGCAAAAGTCATCCTTCAGCAATCATTGCTTTCCTAAGAAGATCCTAAAGTTTCTGTTAAGTCTCTTCCCTGTTTTTCTTAAGTAAAGCTTTCTACATTTTATATAATAAAATAGAATGAAATGCTGTCCAAGTCAGTTGAACTGATGGGTTTTTTTTCATAATTTCAGTCCTTCGAAGATGACCACAATATATAGTTGTGCATATGTTATTCCCAGCCTTTATGTACATACATAAACATATTTCTGAAGCAGAATTAGTGGAGTGAGCAGAGCAAGATTTTAAAATAAGCATAATAAATATGCTCAAAGAAATAAGGGGAAATGAAGGAGATCATTAAAAATAAAAACATTAGATATAAAAAATATAATACATGAAGTAGTATTCACACACCATATAATCCAGCAATACCACCCCCAGGGATATGCCAAGAAAACCTCTTATGTGTGTACAACAGAAAATATGAACAATAATATGCTTCGTAGTACTTTCACAATAGCAAAACCTAAACCTAGAAACTATCCAGATCCCCATCATCAGAAGAGTGTGGATGATGTACAGCAACCGAAAGAAATGAGCCACAATGACCCGCAACAGTGCAGGTGAATCTTAGCACAGTATTAATAGAAAAAATAAGTCCCCAAAGGTTACATTCACTATGGTGCCTTTTTTAAATAAAGGCAATATGAAAAAAACACATTTTAAGGAAAGTGTAAAGATAGTGAAGAGGAATCTCAGTGCATTTTAGAAGGTGGTGAAGCCCTTAATTGCAGACATCACCAAAGAGGCCAGAGGAAAGAATGATAGGAGATGGAGAGAAAAATTGACAGGGGATGGAGTTTCTTTTTGTATTTTATTTTATTATTAATTTTTTTTTTTTTTTTTTTTTAAGAAAAAGAGTGTGTGAACCAGGGAGGGGCAGAGAGAGAGGGAGGAGAGAAGATCTTAAGCAGGCTCTGTGCTCAGTGCGGAGCCTGATGCAGGCAGGGCTTGATCTCAATCCCAAGATCATGACCTGAGCTGAAAGCAAGAGTTAGATGCATAACTGACTGAACTGTACAGGTGCCCTAGGGGTGGAGTTTCTATATGAACTAGAAGGTCAAGAGCCAACAGAATATTGTTAATGTGACTCCATGTTCTATGTGAATTGGTAAAACCTGGACATTTTCAAAGTTTCAGTAGGTTACCTCTGGAGGCGTTTTGAGCTACACATAACTTTTCTTATGGACAACGGGACTCTTGGGGTAATAACTCTTTCTCATTTACTGAATAGATATTATGTGCCAGGCATTGTGCTTAGCACTTTTATGATTAAATCCATATATCCTGTAATTATCCCTGATGAGGTAATTGAGGCTTAGAAGTTTTATAAAATACAATTGGTGGGGCGCCTGGGTGGCTTAGTCGGTTAAGCGTCCGACGTTCGCTTAGGTCATGATCTCGCAGTTCGTGGGTTCGAGCCCCGCGTCGGGCTCTGTGCTGACTGCCAGCTCAGAGCCTGGAGCCTGTTTCAGTCTGTGACTCCCTCTCTCTCTGACCCTCCCCTGCTCACGCTGTCTCTCTCTCTCTCCTAGAAATAAAACATTTAAAAATAAACAAATAAAAATAAAAAAATAAAATACAATTGGAAAGTGGTAGACTCCAGCCTAGATATGTCCGACTGCAGTGATTACGCTCTTAACCATTATGCCGTAAAGTAGTTTTTGCTCTTGTTAAGCACCCTACATGGTGTCTTATTCTATGTCCTAGAAAGTTTGGAATCAAATTGGGGGCATAGTAAGTAAACTGGACTTTATAGGATCAACAGTATTAAGCTAACAGTCTTCAAGAAACCAACGTGTCAGGGTCCTGTTGGCGTCATATTAGATGTACTAGAAGGTTTAAAAAAGGAGAAGAAGAAAAATAAGTTGGTTTCAGACAGTGACATTGTCAGAATTCAACAGTTCTGTAATTAAGTAATACCTTGAGCTCTCAAATCCTTATTTTAAGTTAACATCTCCTAGTCATCATGAGTTTCTCACAAGAGAAGTTGAGACATCCCATATTTGGAGTCACTCCAGGATCACTGATGCTGTTCCCTACACAAACGCCTCCCTGGTTTGCAGCCTCCGCATAGCTAATAATGTCATCTTTTCCTTGCAAATTCTGCCTAAAGGTATCTGAACTCCAAATTATGGACCTCTTGGATATTCCATGAGTGGTTAAATGAAAAGAGACATCATAACAAAGCTATTTCCAGATTTTTAAAAATTTGCTTCCATTCCAGAGAATAGGTTGAATACTTTAATTCATACTAGATATAACTGTTTATTGTAGAGATTGCCAAAAACAATAGCAGTTAAACAAAATAGAAATTTTTTCTCTCTTATGATAAAGAGCCCTAAATATAGTTAGTCTAGGTCTGGTGTGGCACTGTATGATGTCAGGAACCCGGGATCCCCCTCTCTTGTTTCTCTAACATCAGCAGGTATCTTCCTACTTGATAGTCCAAAGTGGCTGCCCAAGCTCTAGTCACCCATACATATTCAGCACAAAGCTGAAATATGAAAGGGGCATCATTTTAAAGACATTTTCTACATTTGTACCACTGTTTCCGCATACATCCCACTGGCTAAAATTTGGCCATTTGGTCATAAATCGCTGCAAGATAGGGCAGAGATTACAATCTGACATGCAGTGTCTGTTTGGAAATATTGTAGTGGTATCAGTTCATCAGATTGTATGGTTGTCAACCCCTCAAACAGAAAAGCAGAAAAAAACCCTCCATGGGAGAAGGGGGAGGCTCCAAGCCCTAGACATCTGGATAGAGTGAAAAACAAGCGGTATTGAATTCCAGTTCAGTATCCTAGAAATATTGATTAAGATCCTTAGGCAGAATCTGAGTGTGGGGCAAAAGTAAGCTAAGAATAATCTTCCTAGCCTCAGTTTCTCCCAATTCCACTGAACTTCACTTCCACCACAGCCTTCATTGGATGTATTTACTGGGCATATCTTTTTCCAATTTGTGGCTTGTCTTGCACTTTATTATGGTGTTTTTTGATGAACAAGATTTTAATGAAGCTCAGTTTCAATGTCTCAGTGCTTTTTGCATCTCACTTGAGATATATTTTCTTAAGATATCAATTTATTTTGGAGTTGTTTTGTATCAGTATTTACAGTATATCTCCTTTCTTTTAGCAGCTGCAAAGGGTTAAATTATAAAGATAAAGCATTTTTTAATCAGGCCTCTATTTATATATACTTAGGTTATTTTCTATCATTTCCTACTATAAACACTATAATATATAAAGTAGAAGGTAAAAGTTGCTCTCATATACACACGTAGTAATCCTGAACCCCAACATAACCATTGATAAGTTGATAAGGTTCTTCAAGGTATTTTTATGGATATATAAACATATTTACATATAAAACAAGTATGTGTGTATTGGAGTGTATGTGATTAGACGCACAAAAAGTCTTCTGTAACATGCTTGTTTCAAAACAAGTTTTATCATGAGCATATTTTCATATTAGTATATCAACAGCTAGATAATATAGTATTTCATTGTATGGGTGTAATATAATTTATCACTTAACTGTCCATCCTCAATAGGTATGAACAAGGATAGATACAAACACAAATGTCCATAGTCTATATATGTACATTGATACTGTGAGTATTTTTGTGATTTCCCCCCTCTTTTTCTTGGGCCTAGAAAGTAAGCTAAGCTAAAGTAAGCCCGAATTGATAAACTCTAGGCTGACACATCAAGACAAAAAGTCAGGGGGCCTATATAAAACCAGGAATGAAAAAGGAGAAGTTACAACTGACACTACAGAAATACAAAGAATCATGCGAGTCTACAAAGAACAATTATATGCCAACAAATTGGAAAACCTAGAAGAAATGGATAAATTCCTAGGAATACATAACTTCCTAAAACTGATACAGGGGCACCTGGGTGGCTCAGTTGGTTAAGCGTCCCACTTCGGCTCAGGTCATGATCTCACGGTTTGTGGGTTCAAGCCCTGCATTGAGCTCTGTGTTGACAGCTAGCTCAGAGCCTGGAACCTGTTTCAGAGTCTGTGTCTCCCTCTCTCTCTGACCCTTCCCTGCTCACGCTGTCTCTCTCTCTCTTTCTCAGAAATAAATAAAACATTAAATAAATAAATAAAACTGATTCACAAAGAAACAGAAAATTTGATAGACCAGGGCCCTGGCTGGCTCAACCGGTTAACTGTCTTGACTCTTGATTTTGGCTTAGGTCATGATCTCACAATTGGTGAGATTGAGCCCCCGCTCAATCTGCACTGATAGCATGGAGCCTCCTTGGGATTCTCTCCCTCCCTCTCCCTCTCCGCCCCTCCCTTGCTTGCTTTCTCTCTCTCTCTCTCAAAATGAAAAACATGTTAAAAACCTGAAGAGACCAATGCAAGCGATGAAATTGAATCAATATTTTTTAAAACCCCAAAAACAAAAAGTCTAGGACCAGACAACTTCATAGGTGAAATCTGCCAAACATTTAATGATGAATTAGTACTTCTCCTTTTCAAGTTATTCCAAAACATTGAAAAGGAAGGAACACTTCTCCACTCATAAGGCCAACAGGTACATGAACAGATGCTCAGCATTAGCAATCAAGAGGGAAATGCAAATCAAAACCACAATGAGATCACGTCACACCTGTCAGATTGGCTATTATCAGAAAGAAAAAAAAGGAAAGTAAAGGAAAGGAAAGAAAGGAAGAAAGGAAGAAAGGGGAAGGAAAGAAGGAAAGAAGGAAAGAAGGAAAGAAAGAAAGAAAGAAAGAAAGAAAGAAAGAAAGAAAGAAAGAAAGAAAGAAAGAAAGAAAGAAAGAAAGAAAGAAAGAAAGAGAAAGAAAGTGTTGGTAAGGATGTGGAGAAAAGGGAATCCTTATATACCATTGGTGGGAATGTAAAGTGGTGCAACCACAATGGAAAACAGTATGGAAATTACTCAAAAAATTAAGAATAGAACTACCATGTAATCCAGAAATACTGCCTCTGGGTATTTATCCAAAACAAAAACCATAAGCCAAAACGCAAAAAACAATTTGAAGAGATATATGCATCCCCATATTTATTGTC